TTGCAATGGTAGAGCTAGCAAAAGAAGAAATACTTTTCTCAGAAAAAAGGAGTCCAAAAGCGGACTTCCTAAGATGGGAATCTCCTTTATTGAGAACAAGGTTGAGTTTGCTCCAGTAAACCCATAGAAAACTGCAACTTTAATTTTAAAAGCAATAGACCACCACACTTTATAGTGGTTTACTGAGGAAATAACCGGCTTGGAATTTTGAGAGAACATTAGAAATGGTTACAAATCACTTGGCATGTCTCCTGCTCACGATTTACAAACTTTCCTCATGTTCCCTCAGAATCCCGGTTCTGGTTCGAGTACACGTGAGTGAGAAGAGTACTACAAAACATGTGCAACAGAGACAATAGGAAGGAAAGTATGGAACTGTTGCCCGAAGAATTATAGGATGCTGAAGGAGAAATAGTGCGCTTGACACAACGCAACGCTTTTTGTGACGAGTACAAAGCTGTGAGCTCAGGGAAGTCGATATCAAAGTAAAGCCAGTTGTTAAAGCTTAACCCCTGCATCGACGACGATGGAGTTATCCGCAGTGATGGCCGATTAAAGTTTGCAGGTTTTCTTTCAAATGATACCAGATTTCCAATCATTCTACCTCGTGGACACTGAGTGACCAAACTTATTGTGAAGCACTATCATGAGAGAGGAAATCATGCTGCTGGAGTAATCTTCACTCTTTGCCAGTTGAGTGAGAGATTTTTGGATTATCGCCGCACCGGAGGAGATTCGCGAGTGGGATCGTGAATGTAGCGAATGTAAGAGAAGACGAAACAAGCCAGCTTGTCAGAATATGGCCCCACTCCCGCAAATGAGGCTTCGTTTCAGCCTCAGACCCTTCGCCCAAACAGCCGTAGATTTTGCAGGTCTTTTCTATACTGTTCAAGGACGCGGAAAACCACGACAGAAAAGGTGGCTGTACCTTTTTACTTGCTTGGAAACACGAGCAGTGCATTTAGAGATGGCCTGGGGACTGGATACCGACACGTTCTTAAACGCCTTCGTACGTTTAACCAGTCGTCGTGGAGTTCCTAAAGAAGTGACAAGCGACAGAGGCACAAATTTCGTGAAAGCAGTGAGCAAGTTACAGAAACTAGTCCGTCAGTTAGACCGTCCGTTGACTTATCAGAGTTCAGATCCACGAGATGATGTCCCATTGACACCTAACCATTTCTTTCCTGGAAAAATGGGAGGACAGTTCGCTCCTGAGGCCGTTGAAACCACTACTTTGCATCCGCGTCAACAATGGCGAAAGGTTCAAGACACCCTCCGATGCGTCGCTTATTCGAGGAATTCCGATAACCAGGAAAAACACTATAACACAATTTTAACACAGCATCGGCAATTTATATCCTTTAAATGTGATGTTCTTTAGTTCAAAGTGATTGCATTTCCCTGCCCGGGTTATCCTGAAACGTTCGGGGTTTTTGTCACCACATAAATTTTTCTCTAATTCTAGATTTACTATCAGTTTAGCATCAGTCCATTGGAAAATTGACAGATAGAAAGTGTAGCGTTNNTTTTATTTGTAAATATTAACTATTTTATGTTGTCTATCAATTAACTTATTTATTTATTTCTTTTTTGTGTCCCTAATTAGTTGTGAAAGCTAAATACATTGACACATTAGTAAAGCTTTTACTTACTTACTGTTATCATGTTACACTCTTTTTGTTCACACTTCATGATGTAATAGATTGACAGCAAGTTCTTTTTTGTTCAGTTACTTTAAAATGATTGACATGCATAAGCAGGTCAGTTCCAAGTAATAACTGTCAGATGACCCTGAAAGCATTCTGTTTTCCTTAACATTCAGTGTTTTTGACAATGTCAAAGGGGAGTAATATATTGATTAAAGTCATGTTTAGTAAATCATGGCAACTGATAGCCTGACTTCTTCCACCTAAATTCAAAACTAGTAAAGAAGGCTTACCTTTCAAATGGCCTACTTGTAATAGCTCAATTGATAATCTTTAAGACTGTCAGAAAAACTGAATGCTCTCTGAAGTGTGGCAAAGAGGGTAGTGCATTTTACTAAAACCCGGTTGAGTTTCCCCCTCAATTTTTGTTCTCACTACAAGTTACGTGAGCTTGCTACAAAAAATTTCTTTCTAGTTTTACAAATATGTATGGGTCCAGTTTGCAAAGCAACCAATTAAATTAGGAAGCCAAAAAAAATATCAGAATTACTTTTTATTCATGTGACATCTTTGTTTTGACTCAGTAGTGTTATTTTCCATTGTTGTTGGTTAAGGGAATATAAAATTATGATGTCCTAAACAAAACTTGTTTTTGTTAATAAGTTTTTTTTGTCACGTGTGGATATCATATAATAGCATCAAACAACAGCATGCATCTGCTTGTGAGGTTTGACTTGTGGCACTTGCCGTTTATCATCCACAAGTAAAGTTTTAATTTTAATGATCAATATTATTTTATGCATTTCCTGCACAAAGGAAAAGGTTTTGTCAGTGTCAATGTTCAAAAAGTTTATATGGCTGAGCTTTCCATTTACATTATTTCTGTTGTTTTTGTTTTTTAATGATTAAATAGTTTTTTTTTTGTTATTATTATTTTTCTGTGATCATAGTTTTTTGTGCCTGCATGCTCCCCTATCCATATGCAATATGTGTACTTTCATGAACAGAATTGACTATTATTTTCTGAATAAAGGCTGATAGTTTCGAAAGAAACTGTTTGGGGCTGCGTCGGTGGGAGTAACGAAATAATTTGGATGTATCAACAAAGTTGAAATGGTAAATTGGGCACCGTAACGATTACAAAAGCTGACGTTTCGAGCGTTAGCCCTTCGTCCGAGCGAATAGAGGAATTGTGGGTTGTGTGTGCTTTTAAAGGCAGAAAATGGAGCTACGTTATTGGTTGGAACATGGCAACGAGAAAAACATGAATAAATTAGTGGAATGAAAAGCGTTCGTTGATCCCAGTGGGATTTAGACTGCCGGTTTTTATTTTCTGTTTAGTATTATGAACAGGTTTCTGTGAACCTAAAATAATTGAAATATTTTCTCCGTACAACCAATTGAAAGAGCGACTTTAAGTTTTTGTTTATCTGTTGAAAGTAATTGTTTGAAATATTAATTGCAGAATGGAGCATCTTGTTAAGAATGTGATTTTTATTAAACAAAATTTTGAGCAATCAGTAAAAACCCAAAATTGATGATTGGTTATTTTAAATCTCTTTGCTTGTATTGTATTGTACCGTCGTCCGGCTCTTGCTCAAGGCCTAGTATGAGGATATTTGTATGCTCTTATGGAATTCAAATATGGAATATTCAAAGTACAATGAAGCGATTACTATTACAAAACTCAACTTTTGAAGATTGATGTTATTGCATGTGCTTATTGATGACTGTCCTCCCAACCTCTTTACGTTTTATTTTTTATTTATTTATTACCTTTAGAAGAAAAACTTTTTGTACAAATGGCTACTCCTTCAGCAACATCCACCAAAGAGACAACAAATTATGCGCGAATCTGCCTTCTTCTTGTGGATTTTGGTACCTCAGCTCTAAGAGACACATTTGACAGAATCCACCCTTCAAGCAACCTTTCTTCAGTCCTGGCAACAAATAGAGCTAAACTTCTCAAGGTAACAAATTCTTCGCAGAAGAAAAAATTGTACCCAGCCTTTGCTCCAGGATCAACCACGGCACCAACTGTATCATCAATGGATTTTGACACAACCCTTTTGACTGTTCTTCTGAGAAACATTTGTGGTTTAAGTCCTCCTCCATCAACCAGAAACTGGGATAAACCTCCCTTACCATCAGATATAAGTCTTGAGGCTGATATTGTCCGAATAAAGTCTTTTAGAAACGAAGTGTTTGCTCATGCAGCCAAGGCTTCTGTTGATGATACAAAATTCCATAACATCTGGACCGACATCGAGGACGCAATTGTGAGACTCGGCGGAAAGAAGACTGAAATCGGTGCCTTGAAGACTGAATGTATGGATCCAGCTGTTGTACAAGAGTATAAAGATCAAGTGGGGCAGATGATCAAGGATGAGGAAGATGTTAGGGAAAAAATCGAAAACCTTGAAAAGAAGACAGAAGGTAAG